ACTTCAGTATCGGCTATTGAAGGGACAAATCTTAAGATCTTATAACTGGTGGGGGTGCTTCTGGTATAGGTTGGACCACTCCTCGTACGCTTGAGATCATCCATCTTAGTTGTTGAAGTTCTTTGGCTATAATTGGACTTATTCATGCATCAAGATCCATAGAGTTAGTATTGTTAGTGTTGTTATTAAAGAAGTTATCAGTATTTCTGTTATTAGGAGCATTGAAGGTCCCATCAAGATCTTGGCCTCAAGATTTTGGATGATTGGGATTGCTCTCCCTATTGGGGTAGCAATGGATGTTGGATCTATCGATTATGGGCGTTTCCCTAAGGATCTTGCATTGTCGAAATTCAGGATCCTTGGTTGTAATATTAAAGGTATCGCCTCCTGAGGTTTGCAGATTTATTCCCTTATCCTTTGTACTTCCTTAAGCAGTCTTTCTGTTGTCTTCCTGTTGCTAAGCCACCTGTTGTGTCAATATTGTCATCATGGTGAGGAGTTCGTTGTTTGAGACTGAGGTAGGAGGATCTTGGGATCACAGGGATCCTGGGGCAACAGGAGGAGTGTTCTTCTTTGGTACATCAAAAGTTTTACTCTGACCAGGGAGCCCATTTGGAGGGGGTGGAAGATTTTTTGGAGGAACAGAGGGAATATAGGAAGAAAAAAAGGGGTTGGTTGTGTAGACATGATTTTGAGGATTATGAACACCATGGCCCCATGGTGGGTGCCAAATTGTTTTGGTAAAAAATCGACTGAGTTGATATTAATCGAATTGAATGAGAGGTTGCGGTGTTTGTTGGTAAAGAAATTAGAACAAGTTTTCACGAGTGATTTACAAGGAAAGCCCTTGATGCTTGCTATGATCTCTGGCACAAAACAATGGCCGAAGATAATGATCACCTGCCTTGTTAATTTGTATTAATTGAAAGAAGAGTTACAGATGAAATGATGAAAAATACGAGTACAAGTATTGAAGTGAGTCTAGGTGTAGGGTGTGTGCGAAATACATGGGTATTTATAGTCTAGTCTAAGTAAAAATAAGTCTGATATTCTCAGGATCCTCTCGAATAAAAATGAATATGTTGGTGTGACTTGGTATTCCCGGGTCTTTTGCCTGATTGAAACGTTTCTTCGTTGAAAATGAGTCTTATGTTGACTAATTCTGCACATGTGAGAAAAAGACTAGAAATATATTCGTTTGAAATGTTAAGAAACAATAGTAATAATAATGGTCAGGATCTTGAGATATGTTTGAGATCCTGAAAGTTCTTGAAGATCTGAGATCCTGAATAGGGGTGAGGATCTTGGCCCTAACAGTAGGAGTTCTAATGAATCTAGATACAATAGGAGCATGGGTCACAATAGTTCAGAGGATGAGGTTGCACATAATGCAAAGACTGAAACTACTACTGTCCGTAGATCTACTAGAGTACGAAGGCCTCTAGTCATATATTCTCATTTAATAACTTTCTTGTTGCTGATAGAGAAAGGTTAACCTGAGTCTTATCTAAAAGCCTTAAGGATGAAAGAATCCATATAGTGGAAGAAGGCCATGGAAGATAAGTTGAGCTTACTTGAAAAGAATCATACTTGGTCATTGGTCAAGCTCCCAATATGAAAGAAATCAGTACATAAGTACATAATAAGTGGGTGTTTCGGGTTAAGGATAAGATTCACAACACCAAAAGATATTAATTAAGTGAGGTTGGTGGTCATGGGATTCCAACAGAAAAGAGCAGTTTATTATAATAAGATCTTATCTCCAATTGTGAAGATGACTACAATCAGAATGGTTTTGGGTATTTTGGCCTCTGAAGATCTCCATACAGCAGCTACATGTGAAAACAACTTTTCTCTATGGTGACATAGAAGAAGACATCTACATGGCACAAAAAAGGTTTTTCCACAATTGGCAAAGAAAATCCGGTGTGCAAATTAAAGAAAAGTATGCATGGTTTAAAGCAGGCTCCAAGGCAGTGGTACTTGAAGTTTGATAGCTTCATGCAGAAACATGGATACAACAGATTTGAGATGGATCATTGTTGTTGTTTGAAGAAATTCAAATCCTCTTATATCATCCAATTGTTATATGTTGATGACATGTTGATCAATCCGACATGCATGATATCAACAAGCTTAAGAAACAGTTGGCCAATGAGTTTGAAATAAATGGCCTAAGGTTTGCTAAGCATATATTGGATATAAGCATAGCTAGGAATAGAGTTGTCGGTACACTAAAACTTTCACAAGCAAGTACATCAAGAAATTTGTGGAGAAGTTCAGCATGATAGATGCGAAAGCCAGAAGTACACCTTTAGGGATTCAGCTGAGACTCTCAAAAAGTAATCCCCAAAGATAAAAGAAGATAAAGAATATATGGCTAAAGTACCTTACACATCTGTAGTTGGTAGTTTGATGTATGCAATAGTATGCACCAGAACAGACAATGCTCATGTAGTAGGAGTTGTGAGAGGTTCAAGTCAAATCCAGGAAGGTGGCATTGGGAGGGAGTAAAGTGGTTGTTATGTTACTTGAAAGGAACAGTTGAGCTTGTCTTATGTTTCAGAAGAAAAGTGGTAGTATTAGAAGGGTTTATCGATGCAGATTTCGGTGGATGTGCAGATTCGGGTAACAACACAATAGGTAATGAGTTCACTTTAAAAGATTTTTCTGAGTTTATACTTTAGATGTCGTTTTAATGTAAATTATTTAGTCACAATTATATATATATATATATATATATATATATATATATATATATATATATATATATATATATATATATATATAATGTTTTTCACTTGGTAGAAAAGAACAAGGAGGGTTTTCAAAATTTTCAAAATTTTTCACTTGTGAAGATAAAAGATAGAAGAAGGTAGAAAAGAACAACGAGGGTTTTCAAAATTTTGGGGATTTCATTTTCCCCGTATCTACTAAACGCGCGTTCATTAAAATTATAAAGCGACACTTATAGAGGACGCGCATTTAAGATACGGCGCCCTCCGTGTTTTTAATTTTTTTTTCTTATGATACTAATTTAAGGGCACGCAATAATGCGTGACCTAAATCCTTAAATTTTTTGAAGAGATGACACTTTTTTTAATGTCACTCTCTTTTGCGTAACATAAATTAATGAGTGTCGTGGTTTGCGCGTCGTAAAAGGGTCTTTTTCTTGTAGTGAATAAAAATAAAAACCCAATTTAAGGTCGATTGGTATGGTTGGGATAGACAGGTTTCATGGCCAGGTGGCACATACATCATGGTTGTGCACACCAGCTTAACTCCCATGGTCACGGTGCTGCATGCCATATACTACGAGATGCAACGGACCTGTGACTTTAATTTGCAATGATTCCAAGAAGCAACATAGATTTTTTTAAAACATTTACCTACATTTCAACTATAATAAATCATTTTTACTACAAACTATTTCACATTATTTTTTCTTTCTCTACTAAACAAACCATAATATATTCACATATAATTTCTTACTCTCTACAATGTAACAATTTCCACAACCATCAAACCTTCAAACCCAACAACGTTGGGAAGAAATGAAGAAACCATGTTAGTTCATGCTTGGATTTAGGTGTCCAACGACCCTAGGCAAAGAAGAAAAACCTTTTGGCAATCTATTCGAGACCACTTCCACAACGATATGGGAAAATGTGTTTATTGGGATCTCGATGGACTTTTGTCAAAATGGCACGATGAGGCCAAAAATTACCGAGTTCAACCACATTTACAAGGAAATAAAAAACACACATCCAAATACGAGTAACTGCGAGATAACTAATGTGTTGCTGAGACAATACCAATAATCCTAACTTAACCATAAACAATTTTCCTACATCAATATTTGGTACTTTGGTTACACAACTCTTAAATCTACATATTTTGTCCACAACGGGACTTGAACACTCAAACTTTGGCTGAGGGCAATTATTCGTTAGCTCTTGATACCGCTAGGCCAAGAGCCCTTTGGTATATAACTATTTAATTAAAAAATAAAAAATAAATTATTTTGATGATGCCGAGTGATGGATTAACTAAATACAAAATGGTGTGGTAGTGCTGACGAGGTATTTTTCTAAGGAAAATGACACTATAGCACAACGAAGTTTGTGCTTTTTCCCGAATTGATCATCAACATTTTTTTTTTTTGCTCAATAGGTCACTAAAGTTGATTATTCGGTGTTAATTACCCCATCTTCAGAAGAATGAAGCAGTCAACCGGTAGCTTTGTTGACTTGGCATGCCAAGTGTCATTTGAGTCACCAAACATGCCCACATGGCTTTCATGAGGCTTTTTCACTTGATTATATTTTTTCTTCTGAGAATTATTGTTATTAATACTAAACACATGAGCAACACATCAGAAGACATCAAGTGGAGGCGCAATGCATTTTCAACATGAACACACAATCAAACCAAGGAAAGCAAGATCACAACTCCAATCTAAATCCTTCTACACAAACAATGACGGAAACACAGATTTTGTACAACCCTCCAAAACCTAAAAATTATAGATCCGTCATCTTCAAAGAAGAAAATTAAGAGAACTCATATTTAGTGACCTATTGTGTAAAAAGAAAACTTTGATGACTAATTCGTTTTTTGTTATTCTAAAATGTCATTTTCCCTTTCTCTAATGGTGAAATAATGGGTATACCCATTTGCTATGATTCTAATCTTTTCTGCATTTGAAACCCCGAGCTTAATCTTATTGACTCGGGAATCGTATTCAAGATTGTATACCTTCTTTTTCTAATTTTTGTAGTTTAGCGCAAAAAAGAAGGTTATTTTATTGTACACATGACAAAAGAATTTTAAAAATATTTTGACTTCGGTAAAAAAAAACCATGGGTCACATTATTGCAACTAGATTTAAAAATTATAATTTAATGATTGGCTCAAGATATTCTATTTTAAAGATGTGCAATCCAATGAAAGGTCTTTCATGCACCTGTGATAAAGAAAGTGTGGTTGAGACTTAAAACATGCGATTGATCAGACAAAAAGGCAAGTATAAAGGAAATGCTAGCTTCCCTCATCTTCAAAGAATCCGATCATCTGAGAACTTTACTGACTTATCGGCCATATATACCCGCGCCGGAGTCATCCTGTTTCTTTAAAGAATCCGGTCAGCCTCCTTAAACTTTACATTTTTTTATCAACTTACCAGCCATACATTACATCCGCCGGAGCCAGACAGGCAAGTTTGCATTTCTACCACCGGAAAATTATCCCAGAATCCGGCACCACCTCTCCTGCTAGCTCCGGTTCATGTAAGTCGAACAATGAATCTATTTAAAGTTTATTAGATCTGGAGTTCTCTATAACAATTTCTTGCTCACAAATTAAGTTGACATTTTGAATTGTCTCTTAAAGCAGTACACAAGTTTCTAGCAATGACATCTGATGGTGAAACAAAAGCTGCACCCAAAGAATCAAAGAGTCCCCCACATGTAAACGATCAGATAGCCTCCCTCAGAAGGAGAAGATTCCGACGAATCAAAAGTGCCCCGCTTGCCAACTCTTTTGTGTCGGATTTCAAAACCACCTCCGCACCTCTGCCGCGCCGCAATTCCGTTTTTGACCATTTTTACCCGAATTACTGGAAGATAGGTATCATCTTCTTTGCATATCTAGTTGCAGGTATGGTTTGCTTTCATCTAGTCAGACACCAGATTTCAGGAAAGAAAACAAACAGCATACTCGATGCACTTTATTTCACCATTGTAACAATGACAACAGTTGGTTATGGAGACCTTGTTCCCGCTAGCACTCTCACAATACTTCTCGCCTGTCTTTTTGTCGTCTCCGGCACCTTGATTGTTGGACTGGTTCTAAGTAAAGCAGCAGCTCTTTTAGTTGAAAAACAAGAACGATTACTGGTGAAAGCGTTGCATATGAATGAAACCATTGGTGAAGCAGAAATCCTTAAAAAGATCAAAACTAAGAAAGTGAGGAATAAGTGTATAATCTTGGTGGTGTTTCTTCTGGTACTTATGGCTGCAGGGACAGGAATCTTTATTTATGTTGAGGAATTGGACTTCATTCATGCGTTCTATTGTGTTATTGCGACGCTTACTGGACTCGGTTACATAGATAAATGCTTCTCGACAACAGGTGGACGTGTTTTTGCTCTTTTCTGGATCTTGTTGGGTACTATCTATGTAGCTCAGTTGCTCTTTACTTTTGCTCTGTTACATACTGAAAGAAGGCAACGATCGTTGGTCAAATGGGTTCTTAATAGAAAAACAACGGTTTCTGACATTGAGGCAGCTGACTTTGACTGTAATCGCATCGTTGTGTAAGTATATATAGATAACCAGAATTTAATAACTTGCATTCTGAAGATGATAAGATTCTGACATGGTGTTTCTATTTTAAAATTTATACAGAGCTGCTGAGTTCGTTATCTATAAGCTAAAAGAAATGGGGAAGATTAGTGAGGATGACATCACACCTATCAAGGATGAGTTTGAAACACTCGATTTTGACAAGACGGGAACGTTGTCTGCCTCTGATCTTTCGGCTTACTAGTGATCATCTACGTTAGCCTCTCACGTTATAACTACCTAATTATCATTTTAACTCAATGTTGATAACAAAATCTTGGTCATTAGTTTCTTACATGCATTATGGATATGAAATCAGAAGTTCATAATTTGAACTTAATGTTACGACAACAGTGAATGAACGTTTTATAACAGAAACAACAAACGAATACTATGTTGAATTGATGTTGGCAAAGAGAGAACAAGTATACTGTGGATGAAAGAAAAAGTGTGCTAAATCAATGTAACACCCCCATATTCATTTTTAAAGATAATAAAATATAAAAGTTTGTTTATAAAAATAAAAGTGAAAATATATTACTTTTTAGCCAAAGTGGTGTAAAAGAAAGTTGTAGTAGACATGAATACGAACCCGTAGATACAAAGAACGTCGAAAATGGAACTCGTATGAGAAAGTTACAATTACCCGAAGATAACGAGAAAATAACAACTTTCAAACCAACACCAGGGGACATTAAATGCCACCAGCCAACCACCCCAGCTACCAACCACCGACTCATTGAAGGCTGTCAGCGGTGCGACACATCCCTTGTTTGGGCACAGCGCATCCACCAGGAAATCAACCTATAAATAAAGGTTCAAGCCTCTTCCATTCCTTGCAACATCTCAAATCTCTCTTTCTCCCTCTCGAGATCTCAGTCCCTCGTAATTTGATTTCTCGTTCTCGAGTATCATTAGCAAAGCGTTAGAAGTTTTGGAAGGGTCCTGATAAGAGAAGAAAGATTAAGCTTTTGAAGTTATGCTCGACGTTTTTCGAGTTATTCAACTGAGTTACACTTACTCCTAACTGTAGTTGGATAAATTCTTAGTCATTATTATGATGCCAAGTATGAGATTAACATATGCTGAAATGGTCATGTCTCCTGACTTCATTGGTAGTCATTTTACTATTAAATGGGATCAATGAAGGATCTAGGTATTAGTTACTATATTTCATAGTTAACGATTCGTTATAGTATTATAGGTTAGTACATGTTTGGCATGTCTGCTCACCGGTTGGATCATTGTTAGTTGTTCAAGTAATTGTTCAGGTGAGTTCCACTAACTCATTATTATGTTGACAATGCTTGTATATGTCTAGTATGTTCTGTATATGTTGGAAAAATGATTAATTGCACATGTCTAGTATGTTAGGTATATATAGGAAAATGCTAACTGAGGATATCCTTCGTGATCAGTTGGGGGAAGACGATCATGACGATATGTGTGATCATTCATCATTTAGTAGTCCATAGACCTTTATTGGAAGACAGGATCAGGATATTAGGAGGGAGCGATCATGATGCGATGTGTGATCAATCTTCATTTAGTAGTCCATAACCCATTATTGGGAAGTCAGAACTAGTATATTAGGAGTAGGGTGATGGTTTCTTAGTGAACTTTGATTTCACACATGTTTCATATTTTTCAAAATCTTTTGTGTCATATTTTAACATTCCTTTAGTTTGCATTTTTTCAATGTTTTTAACATTAGTATGAGCCAAACGTTTATGCCATAAAGAAATTGAACAAACAAAATAACCAGAAAAGTTCACTTCATTCACATTAGCAACCAATCCACCAATTACATCATTATCAACACTTGACACGCTTGCAACACTAGAACTACCACTCACAACACTAGGACCACTCACACTACCCTCATCACTAAGGCTCAAACGATACATACCTGAACAATTGTTCGCCCTCCAAACATATCTTCTGCCTTTAGTGATCACAATTTTGCCTCTCTCAAGCACCATCTTGAACCCTCCCTTGTCAAACGTGTACGCAGAAACCAACCCTTTCGAGATAGTAGGAACATGAAGAACATCTCGAAGGGTTAACCATTCACCACGTGTGAACTTCAACCGAACATCACCTCTTCCTTGAACTTCAGCTCTGTGTCCATCAGCACAGATGACGACCGTCCCATGTGGCATTGGGCGGTAAGTGCGGAAGCTCTCTCGTTGCCCACAAACATGCACAGTGCTCCAGTGTCCATGAACCATCCTCGAGCACTGATTGCTCGGGTAAGGGAGGAGATCATAAAAATCTCTCCAAGGTTCACACTTACCACCATGTCAGTCACCTGCTCGACTGCATGTGCTACCGGTCCTGATTTGCGATCCTTGCATTCTCTCGCATAGTGCCCAATCTCTCCGCAGACGTGGCAAGGTCCGGCCCTCTTCGGATTTGAGTTAGGATTCTGATGCCCCGATTTCTTGAAGCTTTGTTTCTTGGGTCCGAAGTTCTTCTTGTTCTGTCCCCCAGACTTGCCTTTGTGACTAGAACCCCCAGCTGACACGTGATGCACACTCGATCCGACTTTACCACGCTTGTCCCTGATGCGAGTTTCCTCCTCAATGCAGAGGTGTTTCATCAGATCATCCAAGGAGTAGTCCTCAGATTTATGCATCATTCTCTTAGAGAAATCTTTCCACGAGGGTGGCAGTTTTGCGATGATCGCACCAACCTGAAAGAGTTCAGGAATAGAGATGGAAAGTGCGTTCAACTTGTTGACCATGACTTGGAGCTCATGCACTTGCTCCATGATTGATTTGTCATCAGCCATTTGAAACTCTAGGTACTTAGACACAAGGTACTTGTTAGTACCTTCCTCATGTGCCATGTACTTAAGTTCCAACGCATTCCATAGCTCTCTTGGATCTTTGACCGGGGCGTAAAGATCATAGAGCCGATCAGATAGGGAGTTCTTGATGTGACCCACACACAGTTCCTCAGACTCTCTACGCAGAGTCCTTTGCTTTTCTAGTTCTGTGATGACTGTTGGGTCCACAGTTTTCCCCGCCTCGGGAATTGGATTAGCAGGAATTGGTGCCAGTTCTGGGTCCAACACAAAGGAGAGCTTCAAAACATGAAGCATGAACTTGACCTTCTCAGCCCAACGGGTGTAGTTCTGACCATCGAATTGGTCAAGTTTGGAAAACTCTTGGTTCATGAAGTGGAGGCTAGCAATAGTGTCCATTAGTCTGTTGATTTATCACAAAATATAAACCTTTAAGAATGTAGAAAATCAAACTAATAGACACGCAAGGAAACCGACAAATAATATTGAGAATTATGTGTGTTAGAACAAAGTTCTATTAGGATCGTTAGATTCTATGCAACCAAACAGTTAAGAATGTAATCAAGAACACAAGAATGGCTTTGAATATGTCGTATGATTAATACTTTAACACCTCAGAAGAGCTCGATTAAGAACTTCAACTGTAGAGGCGTTTAGGGTTACAAAACAATGAACGTAATAATCAACACGGTCTAATGCATACATGCATGCATATTTATAGTATAACCCTATCAGATAAACACGGATGGACAGGCCCAATCCGGATACAAACAAAAAGCCCAAGACGCAACACAATTAGACTCAACAATCTCCCCCTTTGCGTCAATGGGACCGAAAGCTCACTTCGGTTGAGCTGCAGAAGTCTTCTTTATTGTTTTAAACACCTTCGGAATGATAGCCAGCAAATGATGACGAAACGTTATGTACCACCGAAGCATGTCAGTAAAATTCTTCTTGTTAGCCTCTGAGTTCTGCTTGCACCGATGTATAATGTTGATGATGTGCTCCAAGCAGTCAGTTGAAAATAAATGCTTATCAACAAGAGCAAACAAAAATTTATGAGCTTCGCCTTTTGTAAACATCACAGTGAGATGTTTTGAATCTATTTGGCCCATCTTCATCTTATTCACATCTCCTGGTTTTGATGTTGGCTTGATGGTCGGTTTCTTGTTCATTACTTTTGCTATCTCTTGATCCATAGCTGCGACCTCATGGATGTAAGAAGCCAACATCCTCTTCAAGTGCTCCAAAATAGGTTCATATTCTCTCGGATTTGTAAGCAGAATATTGAACAATAAAATCCAATCATGAGGGTTTAGATTCGGAAGATCTGCTAGAGATATAATCGACACCGAGTTTGCAGAACCTCGTGTGATTTTGAAATTGACATTTACAAATCTCCCAGCAAACGTAGGTTTCAGTACCTTGACAGTGATTATTTTCTGTACGCTCCATGTCAAGTACTGAGGTTGTCCATACTTCAGATAGAAATCAATAAGCTCTCGGTCAACCTTTGGATGAGGAAAAGGAACCTCAGCAGTCGAATCAACCACAGTGAAACGTGAACGCTTTTCGTGTGATTAGCATATCGAACTGCGAGTCCTTAGAGTTATCACAGTCAAACGAAGCAACAGGTTCCAACCAATAAATACTTGGAAACTCTATCGCTTGATTGATAAGTGCCTCTTTAGTCCATAAGGGAAACAAGGCCTTCTTGCAATTCAAGGCTTCTTCTTCTTCCTTGTTTCTCCTTTCCTTCTCCTCTGCTTCCCTTGCAACCTTCAAGGTTTCATCAAGCTCTTTGTCTCTCTTCTTTCGCTTGAGAGCCTCAGCAATAGTTTCACCAGATTCATCATTGCTATCATCATCAATCTCCTTTTGTTTTTCTTGTGGACCAGAACCTGAAGCTACATTATCCTTCAGTTCGGTTGTAACTTTGACCTTCGGTTGAGCAGTTTCGGTTTCAGTCTTAACCTTCGGTTGATGAGCACCCTCTCCCCTTGTTTTGGAGCAATAAATCTCTCCGAAACACCCTTCATCTCGTGTAACAATGCAAGGGCGGGAAGAAGTTTTGTTGTAAGATGATTCCGAATGGTCAAAGTGAGGATAGGATTATGAGCACCAAGTATGTTGGTAAGCATATCCTTTACATCCCCTGCACAGCTACGGAAAACAGCTCTTTCGGTCTTCAATAAAGAAATTTCTTTTTCTGCTTGGGCGAGCTGCACTTTCTGTACTTCAACTACGGATGTTTGTCGAGCCAGTTCTTCTTTTAAAGCACTTTCTTTGGCCAGATCAGCGTGAAGAGATTCAAGTCTAGAATTCACTGAACTGATAAGTGAAGAGTTATCGGCTTGGATGGAAGAACGCACATCCTCAAACTTTGTTTGTTCTTCTTGAAGAGACTTGGACAAAGAATCAACAGAAGCATTTACCTTTGCTGCATTTGTATCAGCATGCCCTTTAAGTGACTCAAGAAAAATCTGAGTACTATGTACAATTTCAGTAACATCAGAGGTGGCCTTTTGGCAAGAGGAGGTAGACGCATTAACAGCTTTGGTGGATTTGTCAATTGAATCGGTGTATTGTTCTAGAGTTGTATCCAAAAATGCTTTAAGCACAACACCACTATAGGATTTGTTGTCTTCAATCAACTTATCAAACTTC